CTTGGGTTGACACTCATAAAATTACAAAATAAGTTGGTCTGATGGTAAAAACTGCGTAGCTAATGTACTGGGGGTAAAAGAATATATATCTTACATTGTGGAGGAGCATATGGTTGGGTGGAGGATGCTCTGTTATCGGCTAAGCATATAAAAAAATGTGGTCTAGAGTATTATCTAGATATTGATGAAGATTTATTTGAAAAATGGATAGAATATAATTTGATTTCAAAAATACAGAACAACAGTGTTATTGTGTTATATAATATCATTCCAGATTAGTTCGCAAAATTCCAACCAAAAGTTCAACTAAACCTGTGATCCAACAATTTTTAATAGAAAATGATTTATATTTTAAAGAGCCTTGTACTAAAAAGCAGCTACTAGAAGTTTTAGAAGTTGGACATTTTACCAATGAGTATGTAGTAGATAACGTTATAAAAAGTCATGGATACAACATTCTGGGGTTGCCCCCTTAATATTGCATTTTTAACCCCATAGAATTATGAGCTTAATTAAAAAAACGTATTCATAACAATATTAGTCCTAAATCAAGTAAGAATGTTATTAATTTAATAAAATATGCATTTAATAAAATTACTAATGTACATTGAGCAAACGTGATTAAACATGTTATTGCTATTGAGAATAAATATTTAATAAGGACTCTACAAAGATTCATCATTAACGTAGCTGAAAGTAGTGACGTGGATTTAAGTGAAAATGATAACAGCGGTAATCCTTAAATCAGATATTTTGTATAAATTATTTTATTTAATTTTGTAGGATAAAAATTAAAAGTCTCTTTTGGTACTTGTAAAATTGTCTAAAATTATTTGCTCCTATTTACAGTAACACTGGATATTCCTTCTCTTATAATTTGTCACGTAATAATGTTAAAAAAAAAACATTTTTGTTCAGACATTTCTCATTCCGACCCTGTCTATAGTGTGATTTGGGAAATCCATTTCTTATAATTTGCAACGAACTATACCCTTTTCGTGCCTCATTAATCTATACCCTCTGCTCAGTGCACCCACAAACATTTTTAAATAATTGCGGTAAAATGGTTTTAAATTGAATTTGTTAATTTATATCCAACGGAAATTGCAGAAGATATAAAAACAAATATTAATCCCAAGAAAGCTTCTGGCTTTGATTTAATTACAGGAGAAATCTTAAAACAACTTCCGAAGAAAGCCATAATTAAACTTACATACCTGTTTAATGCCTCATTCAAACTAAGGTATGTCCCTAGATTGTGGAAAGTAGCTAAAGTCCTTATGATCCCCAAACCAGGAAAACCTCCGAAAGAAGTTTCGTCATATTGGCCAATATCTCTACTGCCTATAATATCAAAACTGTTTGAAAAAATACTAATAAAAAGACTGAAACCCATTATTGAAGAAAAGAAACTTATTCCATATTACCAGTTCGGCTTTAGAGAAAACGATTCAACTATAGATCAGGTTCATAGAATCTCAAATGCGATTGAATAAGCATTAGAGAACAAAGAAGTCTGTTCAGCCATCTTCCTCGATGTTGCGCAGGCTTTTGATAAATTATGGCATGGTGGCTTAAAACATAAACTGAATGTGTTACTTCTACAGTCATACTCAGAGCTATTAGATTCATACATTTCAGGTAGATTCTTTAGAGTAAAACAAGATGAAGCATACTCTGAACACATTTGAAAATAAGGATTTAAAAAACTCACTGTCAGTAAAATCTTGCACTTATTTCGCACGATACGACGCCAACGGGCAAACATTCGCAATGCAATTTCAATATTAGGGTATATAAACATCTCTCAGTTCATACTTATGAATAGTCTGCAATAGTACTAAATGGGAAGCCGAGGCAAAGTTGTTAAGCATCTCATTCATGTGAAATTTGAAACTTCCCATTTCTCTTACTATTTCGAGGGCGTCCACGTCTCTGATGTTCTTGAAGCCTAAATCTTTGGCACAGATCTCCAAATCATCAAGTATCCTTTTTTGCAGTGATGGTCCAGATAAAAATTAAAAAACCTAAGACACGTTTGTGTAGGCTGACCGGTTTCTCATTTCCGTTATTAACTTGTCATAACCACAAGAGCACTCTCGTTGGAATTCTTGTTTTGGTGAGACTATGCAGCTTTCATCCATAGCTATTCTTAATTTGGAAACTGACTCTCAACGCCAATTTCATCATATTTTAGGGTTAATTTTGTGTCCCCTCCCTCTTGCGCCCTTTGCAGGGGTCTCTTCCATCAATCCCTAGATACTTCCCTGGACTGTGCGCTCATCAAAAAATAAAAAAAGTCTCTCTGGTAGTGTTTGCAAAAGCCGACGACACAAAAGGTTTATGTGGAAGGTCTAACGACGAAAAACAACTACATTCATTTACTTGCAAGTATGCAAGTATTTAGCTCATGTTTTATGTTAGACAGATAAAGCTGTCGCCTCGGCTATCGCATTAGAAAGAGCGAGACGTCTACTAGGTTAAGTGGGGATGATTTGTGCAAGCAAAAAAATATATTAGATTCATATTATTAAGAATACATACAGGGTGTCAATTTGAAAACTTTCAATGCGAATATATCTCGCAAAATAAAGAAGTTGGAGAAACGCCGTTTGGTACAAATGTTATAGAGTTAGGGGGAACTAGAACCACCATATTTCAGTGAAGGGGTGAGTCACTGACGGAAACTGGAATCTGAATGAAAATTTAATACATTTTCAGCAAGACAGAGCACCACCCCACTACGTTCTTCTAGTCAGGCCATTTTTGAATGACGCTTTTCCAGGTCAATGGATTGGACGGAGAGGTCCAATCGAATGGCCGGCGAGATCTCCCGATCTAACACCTCTTGACTTTTTTCTCTGGGGACATTTGAAATTCATTGTAGTTAAAACAAAACCAGATTCAATAGAGGATCTTCGGCAACGAATTATTACGGAATGCAGCAATATTCCAAGAGAAGTGTTCCACAATGTTAGAACAGAATTTGAAAATCGATTATACTATTGTTTAGCACAAAATGGAATGCATTTTGAACATCTAATCAAATAAAATATCATTAAATTGTTTTATTCGAATTTTTTGTTTTTGTATTGAATGGAAAAAAATATTGTACAGGTGAATACTACTAAATGAGACCTTTCATTTGAGGTATCACAAAAGGGGTAGTGCCATTTGACATTTTAAAGTTGGGGTGTGTCGCGTCTAAGGGGTAACTCACCCGCTCACTTAAAAATGGTGGTTCTAGTTCCCCCTAACTCTATAACATTTCTGCAAAACGGCGTTTTTCCAACTTTTTTATTTTGCGAGATATTCGCTCTGAAAGTTTTCAAATTGACACCCTGTATATACCTCCGCATTGTAATTTTTAAAGCCTTTTGTGCGTTTTAGAGCCTTATTTTAAGTAAATTTCGAATTATAACCATAAAAATCCTTGTATATGGACTGTAATAATTTGGATAACTCCTGGATAACATCATGAATGCTTGAAAACAAATTGGTCTAGTAATTGTTCGTTGTTGGGATGGTCCCAGCGGAACTTAGTCGCTAGGATCCCGTCTCTTAGCTACAGTCGCTCGCCACAGATGCTTGTCTGGACTAACATTTTAACATTGAATCCCAGGCCCTTATGCGCCAGTAACTGTCGCCTCCGAGTGGTTCATCTAGACAGGCTCTACATCAATTCCACATATAGGAAATACTGTAATAAAATATGTGGAAATGACTCAGAGTTTCCCTTATCTGAATTATATAAGTCACCATATATTTACTAAATAACAATATTCGAAAAATTGAATATGAAATATTACTCTGAATTTTCTGTATCCCTACAGTTCTGCAGAGTCAACAGAGAAATCCTTTTTGACATTTCCGGATTTTTGTCTATTAAATTCCGCAAGAACCTACTACATTACATACAGCACATTACAAAATGAATCACATTCAACAGTTATTACTGAGTTACGGTTTCAGACACTATTATTTCGTATATGAATGTAAAGTAAAGTATTAGTCAAGGTTTGCAAAGATTTTTCCGCTTAAACCAACTACTTAAGGGTCAATGCATTAAAGTGCCTGTTCTGATAAACAGTTAATTAGTTGAAAATAATAACAGATGGAGGCAATGAATAATCGTTCATTATATATTGTATATTATTATGCTACATATATTAAAAAAGTAATATTTTTTTTTGTTGGAAACAACTGTTCGGCATATTTTTAGCGATAGACAGAAAAATAAAATTCCAGAACAAAAATAAAAATAAATGTAACAATTTTTTTTATATTCGAAAAATGGTAAAATGTATGACATAATAATTGGCCTGATGTTTCTAATGTAATAATCAACAAATTTATTATTCATTGTTACTTTATAAGAACGCGGGTTGACACTATTGACAGAGATAAATGTCATCATAATTTATACACTTCCTCCAAGTGTAGTGTTAAGTTATAATGTACAATCATTTAATCTTAATTTTGAAGACGATCAATAATTATCTTGTTTTGATATGGGTTTAGTTTTATTAATAGAATTTCAGGATATAATTTCAAAATATTCCGATAAAAAAATAGTAGACACTTGCAGTGTGTCCCCGGACGTGCAGTAGATTTTCACAGGTTACAAAAGATGTCATTTTAAAAGTCAATATTAGAAAAAATGTATTTTTTGGATCTCAGCTTTTTAGTTTTTATTATATATATTTTTTAACATTCTTTAAATGTTTTTTCGACATCTGTAAAATATATAGAAAAATAAAAAGGTAAAAATTTAACTATTGAGAAACGAATTATTTTTTTAATTAATAAAAAAGAAAAATTATATTTTGATATTTTTGAGTTTTTTTAAAAAGTCATTTGGATATTTTGTAAAACAAAAAATATATATCTCCATTGAGCTATTTAATGACACCTTATTATTTAGTTGTTTTTGGTGAAAATCTTTGCAAAAGGAAAATAAACGAGTACAAATAAACATAGGGTTTGAATCAGTCGATTACAAACAATTTATTTTAATGATTTTGTAGAAAAATCGTCAAATTATGCACAGAAATCGTCACAAACATAACAAAAAAAAATAAAAATAATAAGGTACAGAAAATTGTACAATATGTATCGATATAAAAAAATGTATACACACAACAAAATTTAAAAATAAATTAATTTAATTCCTACATAAAGGAAGTTCAAAAAAACTAACTATTCGTCACATACACTGCGCACTTTAAACAAAAATTCTAACAATCAATCGTAGTGACAACTAGAACATTGATGATTATTTGGCTTTCCTGTTTTTCTGATGATTTATAAATAAATGAGCTATCTAGTGAAGGTGGATGTCAGTCGAAGTGAATGTTGGTCCTTATTGCACATTGGACGGTGATGTCCAGGGCCCTAATGGCGATAGGGGTAACCGTCAAAACACTGAAACAAAAAAATAATAAATTATCAAATTAAAACTAACTACTACATAAACTTTGTATCATTAATGTTCTTTAATTCTTTTTTTATAATTATAAAGTTATCTATAGCGAATTATATCAGCCCTATTAACAGATCCTGCAGATGTCGGCATTATCCGAGTTACCAGTTTCTAGGAAACCTCTGATTAGGACTGTATTCATTTTATCTAGTTTTTCATTTTTTAACGTTATTATACATTCATTATTTTTGTATTTTTAACATAGAAAAAATAATTAAATTTTTTAAAAACTATCTTCAATTTGAAAGTTTATTTTTAGCGGCAATTCCATGGCTGTTGTAGGTACATTAAAGGATTATAAGCAGTTATACCATATTATCGATATTGTGTGATAAGAACAGTGTAGTCTAAATACTTTAATTCTAAAACTGTAGTAAAGAGGCCATGCCTAAACAATATCATCAAAAGAAGTTTAACAAAATTACATTTTCATATAATGGGTCCGAATAAAGAAATATATTTTATATTTACATTTTTATATTGAATGGAAAAAGGATTTGGATTTATTGAATGTCAAAAGTAATTTATTATTTTTAAATTTGTGTAAATTTTGGCTATCGCCGATCTGGTGTACTAGATCGATGCGAGGAATTGAGTCCCCACTCGGTGAGTCGCCGACTAGTGACTCGCGTATCGGGGACAACACTAATGATTTGTAGTGTGCATGTCGTACGCGTTTTATTTGTACATCGGTCTCCTTTTGACAGAGTAGCTGAGCTGTGTCCAGGCCGTTGGTGTTTATACCGGTCGGCTTAGCCAGGCATGGATTAAAATTTTCTGGTGGCGGCGAAGCCGCCACCCTACTAGAAGTCGTTGCTTCGACTTCTTGTTGTCACGGCATTATTATTATTTGTTCATGTATGTGAAATTTGCTTCTAAGGTTTATAAAATACTACTGCTAGTTACGGCGTAAATAAAAACAAACAAGACGCATTCACACAAACACCTCCCACCGCAGCAATTACAAATCATTAGTGTTGTCCCCGATACGCGGGTCGACTAGTGTAGTTTAATTGAGTAAGTATCCTTGAGTTTTTATCAAAGCGTGCTTTTGCATTAAATTAAATAGCATTTATTTCCTTGAAAGACTTGGCTAAAAGTTATTTTATGATGTAAGTTCGCATAGGTAGGTAAGTAATTTTTAGGTTAAGAAGACATGAGTGATTATTTGATGTAATTAGTAAGTATTAACAATTTAATTTAATATTAGGTGTTAGATTTGTTTAAGGACTTTGTTTATCATTGTTTTCTTAGCCTTAACACGAAATATAAGTAATTTCATTTTGAATCTATTTTCAATTCTTTTTTTAATATATTTGTAACAATATCAAAACATGTCTGACCCGGGTAAAGCATCGAAGGGCAAAGCTAAGTATTCTTGTTCAGCTCCTAATTGTTTAAATAAGTATTCTAATATTCAGCAAGCTGATTATTCAAATAAAACTTTTTTCATTTTCCTTCTGATGTTAAAATTTGAGAGAACTGGTTTAAGAATTTAAATTTAACTTTTGATAATAAAACTCCGCTATCTTTGTGAAGATCATTTTTTGCCAGAGTCTTTTAGCAAAATTGCCATTAAACGTAAACGACTAATTGTAAATGCTGTACCAATTTTATTAAATAATAGTACACCCAGTTCAACTATACCGAACTATATTCAACCCGAGAGTCATATTTTAGAACATGTTGAGGCTGAAGCACATACACAGCAGCATAAGATAGATTTGCTAATCCACAACGACAAACAAGAGATGAGTTGCAATCGTAAATTTAGTATTAGTGATAAACAATTTGAACAACCCTCAAAACGGAGAAAAACTGTTTTGCAACAAATAAATGAAAGTAGAGTCAAAAATTTAACTCCTAAAGAGAAAAAGCTTTATTTTATTAATAGAGAACAAAATATTAGAATTAGTAAGCTAAAGAAAGCTCTTAGTGTTTCCAAAAATAAAATCAAGAGGGCCTTTGAATTATCCAAAACTCAGTTATTTTCAGATTTTAATAATAATTTAGATCCAGTTGGAATGAAATTCTTAAAAAGTAGCTTAGAAAATTGTCGAAGAAAAAAACCCTCTTGGACCACTCAGAATAAAATTTTTTCTTTAGCATTGTATAAAAATGGTCCAAGAGCATATAATTTTTTAAGAAAATTCATTTCGTTGCCTAGTAAATCTACTATCCAACAAATTTTAAGTGATTTACCTTTTGAAACAGGCATAAATGTTTCAGTGTTTTCCAGATTTAAAGAAATTGTTAGTAAAATGCCAGAAATTGATAGAAATTGTATTTTAATGTTTGATGAAATAGCTTTAACTGAAAAACTTATTTTTGATTCAGTTAATGACAAAATTGTTGGACATGTTAACTTGGGAAAAAAATTAGGTAGACGCCCAGAAGTAGCTGATCATGCTTTAGTATTTATGATACACGGTTTAAGAAAGGTTTGGAAACAACCTATAGCATATTATTTTACACATCATGCTATAAATAGTAAAGATCTTACTGAGTTGATTAAAGAGGTTATTACAGCTCTTCAAAATATAGGTTTAAAGGTTTTAGCAACTGTTTGTGATTTGATGGGGGAAAACAGGGTAGCTTTAAGATCACTGCGAACAAAGGGTGGGACTGTAACAAATTTAGAGCCACATTTCTTTTTAAATGGACAGAAAATAATAACTCTTTTTGACACTTGTCATTTACTTAAGTGCACTAGAAATGCTCTTTTTAATTATCACATTCAATATGACGGGAATAAATTTGCAAATTCAGATTTCATTAAGCAAGGTTTTCATATAGATCGATCAAAAAGATTTCAAACTCTTTATAGGGACCGTGCGTCATGACTTTAACGCCAACTGGTGACAAAAATGTGCACTTTTTGGGGGAGATTTATTAATGTTTTATACGGCATTTATTGTTTAGTAATTATTATTTAAATAAAGTCGAATTTTTTTCGTAATATCATTATCGAAAAAACTTGTTGCATCCGTGGATGTACAAACATATCGCTTTGGAAACCTGGATTTGATTCGGAAGTAAAGAAATTTTATAAATTTCCACAGAGCACACTTCGTGTCTCCCACCCAACGATATACATAATTACATAGATTGCTTATCCATATGTATCTATCTTGTATCAATTTTGAGCACTTAGTTGTAAAAAAATCATTTACAGAACCGGTTTATGAAATTAGAATCTTTAGTGTTTTTTGTCATTAAGATTTTTACATATTTAAATGAACATTTTATATAAATATAATTTTACAGATAATTAATGGTTTATTCTGTTAATTAAAACTAATGTAGAATGTTACTGTGAAATTAGAATGTCCAATTTGACAAACATATCATACAATTTGTTAACTATTTCTCATTTATCACTAAAGTGGCGCTGGGAAACAGTAACAAAGCCTACACAGAACACGTGGCTAATATTCTCGGAATAAACGTAGCAGTTGATACCGATGACACAATTACTGTCAAAAGAGATTGCAACAAATGTTAAAATATTAAAAATGCAGTGATTTTCTATAAAATTTTTAGTAACATTACTATTAAACATTACTCAGAATAATAGATAAGTGTCCAATTACAACTCTTACAAAAGTTGTTTATGTCTCATATTAAAGTTGTTTACATTACCTTTACAAAGTTGTATTATATATTGCAATTATGTGTTTTATATAGTGTTATTTCTGAAATGAGAGTGGTCTAAAATTATTTACATCCATCCTTATAAAAATTGTTTAGATCTCTTAATATTATTTAACTACATGGAAACTCAACTCTCAAAATACATAATAACGCGTCTTGAATTAAGTAATTATTTTCTTTTTCTAAAGAATAAAACGCTGAAATTTTATTTTAAAACACATTTGAGCTAGAACGACCTATTTCGTGGGCACTAGGAAAGGCAATATAGCAGTGCACATTGCAACCCGCTTTTCATAATCGTTTTTATAGATGAGTGAGCAATCTGTATATAAATATGTATAGCATTGGGTGTCTCATAAACGTCTAAGGTGGATGAATGACATTTCTACTAACAAAGAATTATTCTTATTATTCTCAATCTTTGTTATTAATTTACATTTTTAAAATGTTATTGTAATACTTTTAAATTCAGTGTTACTAAATACCGAGATTTTGACATTGGATACACTTGCTTGAGGTACAACTTTACAATTTATTGTCACTTAACCATTTAAATCTTTTTGCTTAAAATGTATATACATGTCTAGATTTTAATAATTTTTCACATTTTATATCATTTTGACCATGTAAACGATTGTTTGTTACGGGCCGGTATCTATATTTAACTATATTTAATATTTTAAAAAATATCCTTTATTTTTTACTTGCAATGTTTACCCCATTTAATTCTAAAATTGAACACTAGAGAGGGCTTACTTCGGCACTAGTGCTGCCTCTATATTTCACGCACGGTCCCTATAAGATTAGGGAACAATATTTTGATGTAAGCCGAAATAGCCGTTTAAAAATGAAAGTGTCAGTCGCCGCTAAAGTTCTTAGTCATAAAATGTCTGCAGCTATAGAAAGCATGATTGGTTCTGCTCCTGGAAATCTAGCAGCATCTGCAATTGATACTGCAGAATTTGTGGAAGACATAGATAATTTGTTTGATAGTTTAAATGGAAGCAAACCAACTCCAGATTGTGGAAAACCATTAAGAAGGTGTATTTCAAAGAAATCGGCACATTTTAAATTTTGGGAAAAAGTAGAAAATAAAACAAAGAGTTGGTCATTTCATCCTAAATTTGTAAGGAAAAATAATAAAGTAAAATCGAGTTTACCTTTTAAAAACTGCTGGTTGATAACCATTAATGGGGTTCGTGATTTATTTAAAACATGTTCTTCATTGGGGATGAAATATTTAAGGCCCAGATCTTTAAACCAAGATCCTATTGAAAATATGTTTGGG